AAATTGTGTCTAATGTAAGAAAATAGAAAGTAATTTACTGTTAAATTCTTTATGAAGTGGGTGACGCTGCTTTTTTGTCGTGTTTGTTGTATTTCTCATTTAAAAAAGTTATTTGCTGAATTATATTGCATGTTAAAGTGAGGGAAAACATTTTAAAGGCTAATGCACAGACACAGCATGAAGGTATATAGCATGCATATATTATATGCTATAGCATTAACAGACATGTACTTTTAATTCAGTCTTGATGTGAAATCTTGAAATTATATGTAAGATGTGATTATCATAAAAATGTAATAAATAGATTTAGCCATTTTGGTTCATTTATATTAATCTGCTCCATTAACATATTAATTTTATGATGATAGATTTGTATAATGTGTTATATTACATGATTTATAGACTTCATAATGACTCTGCAATGTGATTGGCCGATTGTTTTAAATTAGAAGTTAAAGTTAATCTACTGATGCTATCAAACAGCCAGTCTGTGTCAAAGTGATGAATTTATCTTTATTTTAAAAGTCTTAAGCTGAAAATGAGAACATCGTGTTTGTTCGATGCTGTAGCGCATGGATTGTTTACACTGCGACCGGTCTAACTAGGGAGTACCAATATGGCGGCCTGTGGCTTCACTTTAACCCCGTTCTACCAACAGGCGATCAGCAATCAGGGAATAAACAGAGATCAAAGAGGCAGACGCTACCAACTGCAAGGTTGGGTTTTATTTTTGTGTTCCGTCATCAGGGGGCGCTCTAGTCGATCTCCAGCAGGTGAAAAACCCCCTCCAGCTCTTAGTTACCTTAGCAGCAGGCAGTTCCTTGGCTTTGGACTCGAACAGGTGCTCCAGGCGGGCCGTGTCCACCTCCACCTTGTCCAAAGACGCCCACACCGTCCCCCGACCGAAGCGACACTTCTGAGGACTTTCTGCCTGCTTCAGCTCCTTCCAGAACAGCTTCACCGTCTTCTTCTTCCTCATCAGTCCTGAGGACAAGCCGGGGGGAGGAGGAGCTCCCGGGGGGGGCGGAGGGGGAGGAATACCACAACCGAGAGGAGGGGGAGGAGGTGGAGGAGGAGGAACACCGGGAAGAGGTGGGGGAGGAGGAGGCGGAGGAGGGGCAGCGGAACCCAGCATGGGGGGAGGCGGGGGAGGAGGGGGGACGCCAGAGAAACAGGGGGCGGAGCTGGTTGAGTCGATGTTGTCCATGGCGAGGACGTCATTGTCCTCGTCCTCCAGCAGGTCAGAGAAGTCCAGGTCTTTGATGCGAAGGTCAGAGCTGCTCAGCTGCTTCTGGTCCCAGACGTCCACCGATCCTACGGACGCCATCTTCTCCAGGCGGCGGCCCGGAGGCTCCGCCTCCACGCCGCTCTGCGGCCGGGCGGATCGGTTCTGAGGAGAGAGGCAGACGCAGGCGTTTACGGTCCAGAGGAGGGTTCTGGGTTCAGACCGGTTCCTCCTCCGCTTCCTGCATCCTCAGCTTTACATCTCAGCCAGATTATAGAGAAGTTAGACTAAAACTACTTCAAACCCTCGACTTCCAACCATCTGAAGCATTTTACCTTTTTATTTTATTTATTTATTTAAATTACAGCTGAAAGAAGGAAAGGTTGATGATGTAGCAGGAGGATGATGTGGCTTAAACATCTCATCTCCACTTTTTAATTCCCCAACCAAATCCAATTAATCCATTTATTTTCTCCGCCTTTTATTTCATCACAAAAGACAGATTAGTTTCCAGAAAAAAACTTTTATTTCTATAATTTAGAAGATGTTATTCTTAATTCAACCTGTGAAAAGGCTAAAAAAAAAATCATGTTTTTAGAATAAAAACAAAGTCAATGTTTGCAGCTAGCGATGCTACCAGCTCAGCTATGGGTTCATCAGCAAGCAGAGGGGTCAATAGTAATAATGTTTATTACTAGAAGTATAAATCCTTATGTTTAAACTATTTTATAGAAGTCAGAGGATCAACTTCAGCTTTTTACTCCAGTAAAAGTGTAAAAGGACCATTTTTAAAACAAAAAATACAAGTAATGCAGGAAAAAATGTTTAGGAAAGATGCTTTAAACCTTATACTGAGTACAGCAATACCCTTTTATAACCAATAGTAATGCTTTAAATAGGGATGCACGATATTGGGATTTTGGCCGATATCCGATATGCCGATATATTAAAACTCATGTAGCCGATAACCGATATCGATACCGATGTTAAAGCTGGACAAAAATAAGTAGTCATTGAAAATAGCAGTTTT